GAAATAGCCGTTCTTGCAGCGTTCGTACCTTCCTGAAAGTTTTCCTCTTCCTCTTGCTCTTCCCTTCCAAGTCCTTTCTCCCAGTGAATACCATATTGGTACCAGTGTTGGTGCTCTTGGTGGTGGTAGTAGCACTTCGTACTAGTCGAGGTGCTGGTAGTATAGTAGTGCTAGTAGCAGTCGCGCGATTTGTGGTAAACCAATCAAAACTAATCGTTTTTTCTACGTTTTTGCTCTCCCAAATCCTTTCTCCCACTGAAAACCATATTGGTCGTAGTGGTCTTGGTGGTGGTAGTAGTAGTAGTAGTGGTAGTACTGGTAGTAGTAGTGGTAGTGGTGGTGCTAGTAGTGGTCCGGTAATCCAATCCAGTGCAAACGCAAAACCTATCGTTTTTTCTACCTTTTTGCCCTCCCAAGTCATTTCTCCCAATGAGAACCGTGTTAGTACTAGTAGTGGTAGTGGTAGTGGTAGTGGTACTGGTAGTGGTAGTGGTAGTCGTAGTAGTAGTGGTAGTAGTAGTAGTAGTAGTCGTCGTCGTCGTAGTAGTAGTAGTAGCAGTAGCGGTAGTGGTAGCGGTAGTGGTAGTGGCAGTGGTAGTGGTAGTGGTAGTGGTAGTCGTAGTGGTAGTGGTAGTGGTAGTGGTGGTAGTGGTCGTAGTGGTCGTAGTGGTAGTAGTAGTGGTACTGGTAGTGGTAGTGGTAGTGGTAGTGGTTTTGGTAGTGGTAGTGGTAGTAGTAGTAGTAGCAGTAGTAGTAGTAGTAATACTAGTAGTAGTAGTAGCAGTAGTAGTAGTAGTAGTGGCTACTACTACTACTCCTACTACTACTACTACTACTCCTACTACTACTGCTACTGCTACTGCTACTGCTACTGCTACTGCTACTAGTACTCCTACTAGTACTAGTACCTAGTACTAGTAGGAGTACTAGTAGCAGTAGCCTAGTACTAGTAGGAGTACTAGTAGCAGTAGCAGTAGCAGTAGCAGTAGTAGTAGGAGTAGTAGTAGTAGCACTAGTATTAGTACTAGTAGTGGCAGTGGTAGTGGTAGTGGTGGTAGTAGCCGTTGTAGTGGTAGTAGTAGTGGTACTGGTACAGTAGTGCAACCCACTGGTACAAACCTCACCTTAACGCAAAATGTATCGTTTTCTCTACTTTTTGGCCCTCCCAAGTCATTACCCTCAATGAGACCCATGTTGGTCGTCGTAGTAGTAGCAGTAGTAGTAGTAGTGCTAGTGCTAGTGCTAGTGCTAGTGCTAGGTGGTGGCGGTGGTGGTGGTAGTAGTAGTAGTAGTGATAGTACTAGTACTAGATATAGATAATATATATATATATAAACCTTGCGCTCGCCCTTGCGCCTTCTTGCGCCTAGCAGGTAAAAACAGCCCAAAAACTGATCAATCTTTATGATATGTCCTCTCTAAAGCCTGTCTCTATACCGGGGTTTCGAACGGCTCCCATATACACTGCCTCTGGTGTACCAACTCTTGGACTTAAAGGGCTCTCGTACGTTCTTTGCCCACCAGGACGCACTTTTTCCGACACTGGGACGCACCTTCTCTGTGGCCTTTCACTTCTTCTTTTAGGCACAACCAGGGCTCAAATGGAGCGCTCCCACACCATCAATCTTCCAAACGGAAAAAGAAAGAAAAAAACATCGCAGGCGCCCGATTCGCCGATTCCCAACTTCGTTCAGCGTCTGCTCCTCCAACCACAGGGCAATCTCAAAGCCCCGCCCCAGCCCAGGCAGCGATGGCGTGCCGCCCAGCACGGCCGAGCGCAGCTGGTGGCCACCTGCCAGGGGATGACCCAAACGGAAATGGTGAACCTTCAAGTCTTCCAGCCCCATGAAGATCCTGAAGCATTGGCTGCTGACCTCACTCTCACTCCTTCTCGATGACCTTCTCGCTATTTTTCACTCTCTGAGTTGGCTGAAAAACTCTCGCGAAACGCCGGCCGTGCATCGGAATGGGCGCCTAGCATCTCCAGGCTGTTCAGCAGGTGCTCATAGAGCTGCCCATCATTCCTCGAGAGGGTCCACGACACAGCGATGACATGACGTCGCCCCCATCCGGAATCCTTGGACAAACGAATCCTCTCCTCCAAGTGCTACTCACCACGATCTTCGCGCCGGTGCGCTCAATGACCTGAGACATTGAGCGTAGAGGAACTCAGTAACGCTCCCATGACGCCAAAAAAAACAGAATTGACGAAGCCAAAACGAGCACAAAAACCGGCAGACTAGGCCCAGGCGTTCTCAAACCGTTGGACAGATCATGCGGCAACTTGATCTTCACAGGGCCAAAAACTGCTCAGGGTCCATGTTGCTCCATGTAAATCCTGCAGATACGTAGGGCAAAAAAACAGTAAGCTTTGGGCCCAACCGTGGTGGAAAACCCAATGAAAAAACCCAGGTCTTGAACCCCCACCCAGTCCCAGCCGCTGTGGCCAGGTTCCGCACGCAGGACGCTCGCAGCGGCACGTGGCTCGCAGCGGCCGTGAGGAGTTCCTCGGAGGTCGTCAGCACACCGTCCACGTCGAGGAAGACCAACGGCCACGTCGCGGCGCCAGGTTGCCCCAGCGACATCGACGCAACCCAAAAGAGGCGGCGCGAGATCTCAGCCAGCTGGGCTGCGAGGTGTGTCGATCAGTTGCTTGATCTTTGGGGCAAGCTTGGTCTGCCTTGAACATGCGAAGGAGAAAGGGAATGCTCTTAACTACCACACAACACTCTCTCGTGACTTCCTGTAGAGCTCAGGCACCATTAAGCTCTAAAGGATCCTTTCCACCGCAACCTTGCCCCCGTCCCATGTCCTGTCCCTCCCAGCAAACCCTCCCAGCACCGGCCTTTGCACGTTGGCCAGGGCGGAACGCTCCGCCTAGGCGTTCCAGATGCAATCCAGCTAAGCTACTGCCCATCGGAAGGCTAGAATCGGAGTCCCTGTGATGTGTTTCTTTCGAGGTTCAACAGTCTGCTAGGGAGCGCATCAATTCTGCGTGGTCAACTGCAAGAAGCATCTCCGATCACGTTCTGGGCAATATCCCCAAGGGGTGGCAATCGTACCCACAAGTTGCTGAAACACAAAATCTAAATGCACAACTTGTCTAATAGAGTGCCACCAACCACACAACACCTCTACACCTCTCACCTATCCACCTTGTCACCCTACGTCACGCTTTCACTTGCCCATTGCGCCTGCAGAATGTCCAACAACGACGCCGTGGTAGAAGGCCTTGGGAATCGATCTTGCAGCTCAACCATGCTCAACCTTCAATATGAAGAACTGTCCGCAAACCCCAAAATTTGGGGACTGTCTTCACATGCAGGGGACTGAAGTAGCATTTCAAACGCTCTTCATGTTTCCCCTCCCCAGTTGCCCCTTTCGCTCAACTCACCAAGGAGCTCGTCAGCCACGGGTTGGACCTCGGAAAAAGGGTCCAAAGCATCGGACCCTCGGGTGGGCCGGTCGGGACAAAAGGAACTCAACCTCTAACCAATTTGATATCATGGAGTAATCATTTAGTATTGCAGAGTATTGCACCCTACCGGAAAAGCAGGTTAATTTTTAACTGTAGAGGAGTCTTCAGTCTTCAAGTTTCATACCTCCTTCGAAGTTGGTGGCACTGCGCGGACAAATCCAACACCCAAATCCAAAGGGGCCAAAGTCCGATGTCAGCGAAAAGGTCTACAGACATGGTGCAAACTGTGCCAACTGTCCAAACATGTATCAAATTGGCCCACGCAAAGCGCTGCCTTGCGCCCAGCCACAGCACCACGCAAAAGGAGCACTGAGAGGATGGCAATGAGCACCTCACGGCAACCATGTTGTGCGACAGACAAGAGCTGCAACAAATTGACCGATCGTGGCCCGGTCCAGTGTCCCCAACAACCGTCTACAGAAGAACATGAGCCTGACAAAACGTCAAGCTACAATGTGCTAGGTAGAGAATCATGAACGGAGCTGATAAACTGGGCAATCAACCCACCATTCTTAGTTACTTGGGTGAACGGAAACAGCACCACCTGTTGGTCGATTGGACAAGGGGAAATCTAATCTACTGATCAACCAAGAAAGTTGGACCTCCCTCTCCACCCCATCAGCTGTGGTGAAACATATCATGTTTCAAATCCTTGACCAATGACACAATTGTATTCTTTGTGGTCAACAAGCACATGGTTGTATAAGTTGTGACTGAGTTGTCAGAATCTCCTTGTGCACTTGCTCCCGCTCTGCTGAGCTAGCAGGCGTAGTAGGCGTAGCGTTCCCTCTCGGTCGCCACCGGTCGCCGCCGGTCACTCCACAGAGCTCGGGCGCTCGGGCGCTAGGGCTGGCGCGTATTGTAAAAAGCTCTGGGTGCGGCAAAGCCCCAGGATCTCCTGCGAAGTCGCAGGGAGCCCAGACTTCAGACTTGGCCAACATGGGAAAAATCAAAGGAAATCTGATTGCTGACCCTTGGAAGGATTGGCAAACGTCCGACATGACATGCGTATCAAACATGTCTACATTTCAATCCATTGGAAGCAAATACGACTAAGTATGGCATTCCAAAGCCATCAGTCCATCAGTCCTTGTGCTCCACACGCATGGCATCCTTCGAGAACAGGAACAACATCCACGGTCCCCTTGCATCAAATATAACTATATAAGACCTATACAACTCAAGTTTGAAGACCGCTTTTGGTAGGTTACTTATATAGTTACTTCGCAGCATCCCCGCTGTACAAGGGACCATGGCACGACCCCTATGAGCCTTCAGCATTCCACACGATGCAAGGTCAACCAATTGACCTTGTATCACAGAACTGTACGGCAATCCGCAATCCCTTCAGAAACAATCCGCTGGGTCCAAACACCAAACAGGCACCACAGTCGTGGCAAAGGCCTTGGACAAAGCACACACCAAAGGCACCAAGACCGCAGGTCGAATGGTCGAAGTCGCCTCATCCCGCCCGTCCCGCCTCTGGAGGGCGCGGAAGGTCCGGAAGGTCCAGGGGACCTGCAGAGGGTCAACGGCTGGTGGCTTTGGCAGGTGGCCCTTCTGGAGATGGTGTTGTTTTCTGGTGACGGGGGGATGCTTGGTTTAAGGTTTAGTAGGTTTCGTACAGTTTATATATATATATACATGGTGCGTCGCCCTTCTGTGCTTGCCATTCCAGCAAGAGGCAGCAACTGAGGCTTGATTCACCCATCAAGACCATGCTCAGACCATGCTTGTTGGGCAAAAAGCACAGGAGAGAGCACCCTGGCTGCCTGCTCCATCCATGATCTCTTCCGCATCCTCTGCCTCCTCTTCCTCCTCCACCGCTTCATCCCTCTCAGAGGGCAACCCCACATTCTCCCAGCTTTCACCTGCAGCTGTTGAGATGCATCGAACGATGCAGTTTTGGGGTCGATCAAGTGGAACTGAGTAAACCTTCAAAGTTACCTCAAAAAGTCATCCTCCCATGCCTGTGGAGTCCTATTTGGGGAGCCAAAAGGTAGCAAGGAATCCATGGTTCTCTGGAAAAAAAAGATACAGGACGTGGCTAAAGGCAAAAAGGAGTTACTAGTAACTCCACTTGATCTCAGATGCCATCCCTTTACACTCTTCAACAGGTCCTCAATTTTTTGGAAAGCCCAAGTCTCTCAAGACCACGCTGCGCCAGGCTTCAGACCGCCTTCCCACCTTTTCGGCCCGATTGTCCCACCTGATCCCGGATCCACCGGGCAGCCTGTGGCGTCCGTGCCCCCCGAGGCCACAGAGACGGAGTCGCTCGGCTCGGTGTCGCCCTCCAACTGCTCCTGTCGGACCCGTCGCCCTCGTCGGGGACGGGGGGGGGAAGACGAGTGGGTCATCCCAGGTGGGTGTAAGAATTGGGTCCGATGTCTTCTTCAGTGCCAGGGATGATGTCGAGGTAATATGTCAAGGTGCCTCAACGAGGGGGAATTGGGAGCTTTGTGGCTGGGATAGGCAACTTACCTGACTTCGACTTGATCTCCCCAAAGCTAGTAGGAGCAAGGGCATCGCTACTAGGAGCAAGGACGCTACTAGGGGCTCCTGGCCTTACTACTAGTAACAAGGAAGCTACATGACGCTACTAGTGTCTTAGTGCTCTCAAAAGACCTGACCTGACTTGTCCCGGTCACAGTGACTTCGCCCTGAACGGTTCATCCAAGTGGCTGGGTCTTCCATGGTAGGCAGCGAAGGCGAAGGTCGTTCTATGTACACAACGGGCAGGTCGCTCGAGCCATCATGGGGGTCAACGCAAAAACAGGTTTGGGTGGAAATCTTGGATGGTTTCCCTGGCCTTGGCTTTTGTTTCATGCAGGAATGTAAAAAATGTCACACCTTGAACATAATTGTCCAAATCACACAACTGGTTGTTGCTGTTCCACCCAACTCAGATTGCCATTACAACATCTTGGCCTCCCTCCGCAACGGCGCAAGCACGAACATGCGCAGAACTGAGCGACCATCGCACCGCGGGAGTCGAACTCGGGTGTCCGAGTGCTGCACTGGACTCCCAGGAAGGAGGCACATCTTCAGCCTCCTGCGAGGGTGGTCGGACAGTATGAAATAGGATAGGTCTTTGGGAGGACAGCTCTTAAACGGAGGGCTTGGCTCACAAAGGTTGAATCTGAAAAGTGACTGACCTCCGCCACGGGAGATGTTCTGAGTGAGATGTTAGCGGAAAGCGCCTTGCTTTCGCTCAGGTCGCCCTGGCTAGGCTTCCAGTTCTCATCCACCAGGGCGACCTCTGTGACGTTGGGCCTCAGAGCCCCGCCAACGAGCACCCTGCTTCGGGAGTCATGTGAAGCAGATCAAATGCTCCTAGTAGCTTCTTGTTCCTAGTAGTAAGGCCAGGAGCCCCTAGTAGCTTCTTGTTCACTTCACAATGTTCAGGTATTTCGGCTCAAAAACTGCCTTTCGACGTCCAGACTCTTTGATCGGAAAACACACCCAGCAATCGCCCAGACTGTCGGATCTCGGCTCCCACGCATCATGTCCCGGTTCAACTTGACATTGAAGCTCACCCTGTCGGGTGCGGCAAAGCAAATTAAAATGGTAACATGGGGTTTAATCGTGGTTCAATGGTGGTGCGCACCACACTCATGTAGTCTGTCGCCACAGGAAGACAAGAAAGGTCAAAGGGAGAATTCGAGAGATTCAGAATTCAGAGATGGGTCTTCCGTTCCAGATTCCAAACTCATGGTGAGACCCTCTGGCTCAATGAGCTTCAGTCGATTTTGGCTTTTCTCAAAGATCGATGGGACCCGCATAGCTGAAAGACTATTTGATGGAGGCGTCAGTTTCCAAGCGGCTGGAGGGCAAACACTGCTTCTCCGACGATGGTAGCTCCAAGTCACCAACCTCGAACCCAATCAGACTTCTGGCTCCGATCGGATACTCCCTTTTGGTGATGTGCTCAACCCACGGCAGACCACGTCACAGGGGCGCCGCGCCACTGGCCCGTCTGCAAGCCAGCGGCGAACTCCTGAGTCCGTCAAGCACTATCACAGACGTTCAGATACTGTCGTTCCGTCTGGATCTTCTGGTTCTGTGACTCAAACGTGCATATGTGACTTGGTTGCGTTCTTGTCGTTCGGATGGTGGACATGCCATTTACGGCAGTCTGAGGTTCAGAGGACTGCAGCACGACTGGTTCTGGCGGTGCCTCGCTAAAGCCAGAAAGAGTGGCGAAGAAGCCCAAGAAAAGAGAGATTGAATCAGATCGGATTCATCTTGTTGACTTGGAAATATTCATGTCTATCCGAACCAGCCCCGCCACCGTCCTTGTTCACGTAAACATCCCGGCCGAAGTATTCCTTCGCCTCCGGGCACTCGATGAAGCCGAAGCCCTGCAGCGGCTTAAGAGTCCCAACAAGACCCAAAGAGGGTCCTCGGCGGTGGGGCTCCTTTCACACCAGAATGTGGAGCTCCTTTCATTCTGGTGCAGCAAGGGCTTCCTGCAAACCAGAAGACACAACCACAACCAACCACACACAACCACAACCCGCGCAGTTAAACCCTTCGCTGGCCCCCCGTTCGATCCGCCAGACGGATCAAGCCTTGTCCGCCTCGGCCGCTTTGAAGGTACCTGGCCAAAAAAACGAAACGGCACGAAACCTCTGGGACGGGTGGTTTGGGCCGGATCCAACAGGGTCCCACTGTCGGTCTGGTGGGGTGACGGCCGCGGAGCCGTGGATCGCGGCGGAGCGCGGGTTCCGGAGATCGCCTTTCAAGGCCATGCCGTTGATCGAGTGAATCCTGAGCAACCTGGTCGTGTCGAACCGGCACAAACGTCGAACCGGGGTGGTCGGGTAGGTCGATCAACGTTCATTCATGCCCCCTCCGGCCCTCCGGAGTCGATTTCTCTTTTCATAGAATGAATGAAATGAAGGTTAATTGTTCTTTTTGCGCTACGCAATTCTGACATGGCAAAGCACCCTAATCCATCCTGTGCTTTAAAGACAAGGCCTGTGACTTCTACTGTTGATCCCTCCTTCCTGCTGCTCTTCAGATTTCAGCCATCTGATCAACTATACTATAGAATGATTCTCAATCCGGCCACCAAGAGCCCAGCTCATAGGAAGCTTGTGGCTGCCCCCAGTTGGACCTCAGATGTCTCTTTTTTCGGATCGCTCGTAGTCCTCGCCAGAGCGACGATTACGGCGTTCCCACTGCTCTGATGCTCCAAGTTGCCAGTGGATGAAGAAGACCAAGGTGTCGCCCACCTGAGGAGCTCCCCCCCCCGGTTCCCACGGTCCGGACGGAGTGCCATCCGTGTCACGAAGACACGGGGCATGTCACCCTCCTGTCTTTTTGGGGAGATGCCGGGAGGATCTGGGAGGTGCGGAAATCAAAGGTTCTTGGAAAGACAGGGTCATCTGCCGATGATGTGAGATAGTTTCATGACTTATGAAGAGCATCAAGTAGAAGGAGCACTCGAAATTAGGTGCACAAAGAGCGGAGAGAAAACCGTCAAGGAAAAGGGAGACTGAAGTGGGTGTCCTCTTGGGCTACCCGGCGCCCACATTGGCGGTCTCCAAAACGGAACCATAGGCGTAGACTTCTTGACCTGGGCATCCGATGGAACTCGCCGATCGGTCTCGGGGAGGTTCTTCAGTGAGGTTCTCGGCTCCCCGACCGCACATCGCATAGGCTTCGGCACACGCGATGATGCCGGCCTGCCCAGGCGGCGGCTTACCATGATGAGGAAGAATGAGGAACATGTCCTATCAGCGATGGCCTCCAACCGAAGAGCCATGGACTCCAAACTAAGAGCGATGGCCTCCAACCTAATAGCAAAATCCCTTTGTATTTGAAGTGCGCCTGTGTAAACACATTGGTCACTCCTAATCCTCAAAACAAACATTCCAACTACCAAGTAAACCGCAGGGCGGTTTGTCCCAGTCAGAGGGAGCCTTCTTCTCCGCGTTGTAGTTTCGCAATCGACCCACGAAGCATGGCCTTGGGCAGTGACCAGCCGTTGCTGTGTCCCCCTGGCCTGTGGACTATGGACACACTATGGACTATGTCTCAAGTCCTTTCAACATACCAGAGGAGCCAACTGAGCCAATGACAAGACTGTCTGAATCCCAAAGATCAAAATACTAGGGCAAAATGAGAAGATTGTCGGACTCCCAATATGCTAATATCAAAAAGAACTGCTATTTTCTGGTGGGAAAATCGCGTGGGTTTCATGGTCTCCTCAAGTGACTCCGAGACCCCCACTCGCCCCAGGCGATCTTGGTTGCTACCTTGAGCTTGCCGCGCCAAGTAGAGTCCGCAACGCAACAAGGAGAATCAACATCGGCTACGTCTGAGGAGGAATTATTGCAAACCCAAATTCCGGTACTAGATTCTTTGACCGTACCCGGCCGTACCCACTTGAAAAGTAAACCAATGTTGACAACATCAGGACGTTTGACACCACTCTTCAACACCGGGACATTAGAGAGCTGGCCTTGCCCTTCGATTTTCCCTTGCCTGGCTGCGTGCAGCATTTGGACAACACGAAGACCGCATTTCTTTGGAAGGGCCACTCGGGCACTGTTTCAGCAGTGCCTCTCGAAACATTGACGCAAAAGCTCCAGCGGGGACGAGCCTTTCCCCTTGCCTTTTCCTTTGCCATCTTTTCCTTTGCCTTCTTTACCTTCTCCTTTACCTTCTCCCTTACCTTCCTTCTTTTCCTCCTTTCCATCTTCCTGCAGGGACAAGTTGCACAACAAATCGGTCAGATTGCCGTGGGAGGGCAGCATCACGCAGAGTGAACATTATCCAAATGTTCCGACTGGCAGTACCTTCACCAGGTTCGAGGGCAAATAGATCTCTGCAGGACACATTCTAGCCAACGTCCAGACCTGACCAAAAAAACAAAACCCGTCCTGCTGAGATTCCTGATTCTCACCTGCCAATGGCCAATGGCAAACACACTGAACTGATCTCTGTTCCAAACCCACAAGTAGAAGGCAAGACTCTTGAGCAATACAGTAAGAAGACATGTGTGAAAGGTGAACCACTGCTTGCTGCTGTTGCTGCTATGCAGAACTGGTTCAGACGATCTCCTGTTGTCCCGTCTCTCACACCCGACCAACGGCAACGGCCTTCTGGCTTCTTTGGCTTGTCACCTGGAGCAAGAATCACACCGACCGCGTCGGCGCCCCGTCATCCCACTCGGTGAGGCTTGGAAATGATCAGTCCATGACACGTCTAAAAGCATCACAAAATGCCCCCACAAGCTGCATGGATTGGTCCCCCCCAAAACAAGTCGTATGGCACAGTGGAGTGAGGCGCGCCTTTAGAGCCTTTCTCTTTTTGCTTGCCCTTTCCTTTTCCTGCAGCAAATCACAAACGTTGTCCTTTGTCTACGGGAACCTCCTGAATCATTTCTGTGCTTCTTGAAGAGAAGGAGAGAAGAGCTTGGTGATCTGGAGATGTCCAAACACGGGTGGCGCTGAGCATCTGCTATTCATCCTCGCATGACCAAACCCTCACAATCATCCACCAACCAGCTGCCGGCAGCATCGGCATCACTGCAGTCTGCGCATCAGGCTGAGGCGCCCCACCTTTTTTCCCACCCTCCTGCGTCGTGGAGCAGTGGTGACATGACTCTTGTGACATGATCTGTCAGCATGCTTGCACAGTGAGTATTCCCGTAGCAACGTTCAAGGTCCAAGCTGTGGCAAACCACTACTTGCTGCATTCATTTGGCACTCGTTTAGTAATGGAGGTGCCAAGAGTCACATCCTGATCTCCGCCCATTCAGAAATGTGTAGAATTGCCTTTCAACTTTCTCAATAGGTCTGCAATAGGGAACTCCACACGCAGTCTTCCCCCCAATCCAGTCCTTCTTGTTTTTGTCGCCTGCTCAGTGTGGCAGGATGATTTGCAAGGGACATGAAAAAGGAGAGCCCTTCAAGGTTCATATGCAGGAATCTCAACGGCTTGAACCCTTCAATCTGACGTCCATCCCCAATCTCCGGGAACGACCGCTGCCAAACCCCCCGTGCCTAGCTCGTTCCGCGGCCCTTTGCGCCTGGGAGAAAACTGATTGGTGATTTTCACTATGGTCTGTTCAAATTAAGAGCGGGTGCCACTTGCTGCCGGTTCTGGGCAGTTCGTGCCTGGAAAAGCCCACAAAAAGCAGCACTAACAGAGGCTTCGAAAGGCGAAAAACCAATGTCCATCCATCGCCTCCATTTCTGCTGTCATTCTCTGAAATGTGAGCGTGCTGTTTGATATCTTGAACATGCTTGGTAGGAGCACAGCTGTAGGTCTGGAAGGCTGGTTGCATTGAGAGTCACAATGAGAGTCACCACAGGTTCTATGCAATGATCTTCAACCAAGCAGAAGTGATTCAAAAAGCCTTTAGGAAGATTGTGGAAGAAATTCACCCCACCACCGAACCACATGAATTCTCCCAGGTTTGGGCCGACTGGGCCACCCGCACGGCTCCCGAGCATCCCGGTCTCTCCGAATGGAGGACGTCTGCTCCCGGCGGGCCTAAACCAGGGAGGAGCAAGGACATGGTGAGTCTTTGGACCCAAATTACACTCAAGACAGAAAGGAAGCTACTAGGAGCAAAGGGCATCGCTACTAGGGGCTCCTGGCCTTACTACTAGAAGCAAGAACGCTACTAGGAGCTTTGTCGCGCGCGCGGGGGGGTAGAGGACGCTACTAATGAAATTTCAAGCAACAGTAGCAGGTAGCAGGTGCAAACCTTGACTTTGATTGATCTAACCCTATCGTACGTTGATGCCGGCACGCTCTTCCTTACTTCCTTACTTTTGGCTGCCAAGTTGCGGAGGAAGAGGTCTTCTCTAACCTCGCCAAAAACGAACATGGATCTTCCCAGCCAACACTAACCCCCGCTGTGACGGCAGTTCTCTTTCCTCCAATCAAAGGAAATGCATCATCTGCATGATCTAGGTTCCCCTGCGCTCCATATCCCGGGGCAGAGGATGAGGTGGCGGATCCATACGGCGCCCCATAGCCCGGTGGTGCCCCATAGCCCGGTGGGGGCGCCCCATAGCCAGGAGCGGGCGCTCCGTAGCTTGCAGGTGCCCCGTAGGCCGCGCCGTAGTCCGGCGGGGGTGTCCCGTAGGCCGGAGGTGGTGGATAGCCATACCCGCTCGGCGGCGCACCGTACCCGGCGGGCGGCGCACCGTAGCTGGGCGGCGGGTAGCCATACGGGTCCGGCGGCGGGTAGCTGCTGGGAGGCGCACCATAGCTGGGCGGTGCCGAGGAGCCGTAGGGGTAGGCATAGCCTTCCGGCGGCGGATAACTCGGTACCATGGCACCAGGATCAGCCATGGCACAAGCGTAATGCTGAAATTTGAAGCGCACCTGGCTGGTGAAGTGGGATGCTGTTGCTCTTGCTTGTCCTGCTGAACAGCAACGACTGCCAAAACAGGATTATCTTGTGTTAAATGAATAACAATAGATCCAGTCGAGTCAGCGGAAGACAGTGGAAGCGGCTGGGTTGCTTGGGTTCTTGGCTAGCTGGAGTCCAATCCATGTGCTCCTTGCTGTTGGAGATTTACTCATGTACGAGCTTAATCCCCAGAAACTGCAGAACGTGCTTTCCACACTCTAACAGGACATGCTCCGGAAATGTTGCAGGGAAGTGAGGAATGGTCAAAAAGTGCTTCGTCTTAGAAGGTGAGTTGCCTCATGGTCAGTAGCCTGTGAGGTTTGGGCTTTGCGTCCCCATGTCCATCTCAAGTGGGCCTAAAGTGGGAGGCGATTGACCATGCTTCAAATGACACCAAACTCGTTTTTCACACGACGAAATGGACCTTCGTTACACTGCAACCCCAGCAGTGCTTCCCTAAGCAATCGAGTTGACTACACTCAAAATATAGACAGCATTGCGTGCTAAAATACTGCAGTCTTCTAGCAACAGCACCACGCATGCTGTGATACTTGAGAATCAAAGCAACTTCATCACTCGTCTATCTTTGGCGCAAGATAGAACTGCATGTGGCCCTTGTCTGCAGTCTCCAAGTCATACTTCACCAGCAGGGGAGCATCAGGACTAAGACCCAGTTCAACGGAACCACAAAGCTTCTCTGCCTGTGTGCTCCAAGCAGAGTCCCAGTCCATGCAATCATTTTCGAAAGGTTTCCTAGATAAGTGATTGTTACACCTTTTGCTACAAGTATACTCTGCCGGCAGCAGCCTGCACCTATTTGGCAAGAATCAGTCGTCAAAGTCACTGAACAAAACTTGTCTTTTTAATTTTGCAGGCCTTCGCAAAATTCACCAAATAGCGAAGCGCAAATGTGGCAGTAACTGGCTCATGGACTGTGAGTGATACCTTCTCCTCGGGCTTCTCTCCCTCACGAGGCTTCAACATCACATTGCCGCTGCCCAAATCACCCTGCACCATGAATTTCAACCCTTCTTTGCTGCCAGTGATCTGAATGGTCTCGCCAAACTCCTTCAAGTCACGGCAAACCTTCTGAAATTCAGAAGAAGGCAACTTCGCGACAACCTTGTAGTGCTGCTCCGGGATTTCCATGTGTTCGCTCTCGATTTGCATGAGCTTCAAATCGAAGTCGGCAATGCGATCATCTGAGCCTTCACACTGGAAGTTCACTGTGTCGGCATCTGTCTGGTGTCGAATCTTCAACGAGTCAGTTGCACCTGTCATCTTCAGGATCTTGGTCAACGAGTCAATGTTCATGCCAAGCGAAACTGGACGGTCACACTTGAACCTTGGGACCAAGTTCGCAAGGAATCCAGAGGTGGATCACAAGATGTTCCACTGTTTGGCAAGATTTCCCTTGAGATCGGGGCTCAACTTGACAGGAATCCAAAAAGACAAATGAGAAAGGAGTACAATGTGTGCTCAAACGTTGCTTGAGGGCTCGGCAAAGGCAGACTCTCTCAGCAAAACAGAGACCAATGCTACATGTGAGCTGTCCATGCATTGCACCTCAATGCCCTTCTCCGAGCAGTCGAAGTTCACGTCCTTGCACCTTACGCGATGCAACTCTCAACGTTCGCAGCACAGGCATGTGAAGAAAATTGGTCATTCAACCCAATCACTCTCGTCAACAGCACTTGCTGAAAGGAATGTGTGACTGCTTCCAAGGAACAAGTCCTTCATAGATTCAGCGACCTTCTTCAAGAGAGACGCATGCTGCAAATGTGCCTCAAGGCCCATGGTCAAAGAAGAAGGGAATGATAGACAAGATGTTGCGAAGGCGTGTGCACTGTTTGAACCAGGAAATGCACGACAAACATGCAGAAAAATGGTGAGAGCAAGCTTGTCGTTGCTCTTCGCCTGCAAGGTGGATGTTGTTCCAGCGTGAGTGATATTTGTCTAAAAGCCCCTCAAGTAAACTGACCATTGTTTGATTGATGAAAATGTCTAGTGGCTTAAAATCCCTGGGAATTGGAAGCAGGTAAAGTCGCAGTTCGCAGTTCCACATTGAAAGCAACCGACAAAGCAAGGGAACACGCTGACAGCGAATATCTTCCCTATCCAAAAGCCATTACACTGTCTGCGCACTGCGCATCGAGTACGTGGAGGGAATATGAATATGTTGTGCCTTAAGTCTCGTCTCACCTCTTTCCGACTTGATCCAGCTACTCAGGCTACTCAACATCTGCGTTGTAATCTTCGGCGAGGGCACTGGAAACCAATTTCGGATCTCATTTGTGGATCTCCTTTCTTTCATTGGCTACATTCACTCTGCTTATGAAGTTCCAGCTGTGGGTCAGGGGAGATTCTATCGAGACAGTGTCGCAGGCCAGATAGTCATGTAGAGAGGACTCGGAACAGGAGTGCGAGTTCCTTTTCAAGGCTGGGGTGGTGTTGCAAGTTGAAACTAAAACCTTAGCCATAAAAATGGCAACATTGCAAAACTGCTAACATCTAACCGCAGGATGTCAAATGCACGGCCCTGCAGTGATACATTGTCATTCATTCGTCGCATTGGACACTTGCTGCAAACAATTTCTATGTGCAAAGCTTCGAACCCAATCCCCAAACCTAATTGCGAGGCCATTTTTACACAGCACGGTCAAGGACCACAACGGCTCAACGAAACAACACCAAATTCCCGCAGGAGGTTGCGAATGTGAACTAAATTGCGCGTCCGACGTGTTGTCTTGAGGTGCAGGCCTAATTTCGGAGGCATTGAGTCATGTATGCATACCTTGCACTTGCAAGCGCAGCCACTACTAGATGGCTAATCTGTAGACCTCCCAAGTGATTAATTCCTAGTGCTGCGAGTGAGACCCTGGCCGGTCTACCATCACACCATTCACGCATGCCCCTTCACGCATCCAAAGCTGAATGGCGCTTTCCAGTTGCAATATGCTAATGAACATTTATCAAGTGAAACTGGAGTTCTTACGCCTTGGGAGTTGCAAGTAGCTTGGACTGTGCATCGGCACAATTGCAACACTGTTCCGCCGGTAGTGCTCCTTCGCGAATAAATCCGCCTAGGCGTCATCAGAGATCGCATGAACCACTAAAATTGGTAGATAGTTCAGAAGATTTTGCTGGGGGGGTGGTTATTTTTGTTCCAAAAATGCTGTGCTTTTGATGCCTTATGAAAACGGACCAGCAAGCCATCGGTGATGTCGGTTGGGCTGCCCGAGTGACACTGCATTATTGACATCTTGTGTGTTTGCTCCGGCGGCCCTCCCGAAAGAGAAACGAGAACACTATCAATTATTATGTGAGTTATTGAGCGCAACACGCCTCACTGGTACCTATCTTAGGCGATGTCGAAGACGGAATGCGGGTAATGGGGGGCCCGGCGAATCTGCTCCAGCTTGTGTTGATGCCAGGCATGTTGAGGTGCAGCGCTACCCAAAGGTTCGCATTCATGCAGCCCTCTTTCCTGCCAAAGGCCTGCGTACACTTGCCTCTTTTCAGGTAGGGGACACAATTGCTACCTTTTCTGCCCAAGACACCAGACTTCGTCTCCTTCTCACTCAGCATAGGCACCTACCATTTCCGGTCGCAACAACTAGACTCGCGCCCTATTCCTGTCACTGTGGTCAGACCCATCTACGCCTTGAAGCCACGTCTGCTATCTATGACAACTCTATGATCCTGCTTCGTGAACCGGAGGACTGGCATGGCCTCCTGGTGCAATTTGATGACAAACGGCTTATCGTCTGTACTCCGTACAGGGTCGGGTCGAGCTACCATTGCATCGTCATACAGGGGGACATATTACCCCTCATCAATTATCTCCAGCACCGAGGACGACTCAAGAGAGCTAGCATTGTTACACTTATGGAGCAGTGCTATGCTCTGCTAGCCGCTGCGCAATTTGTTTTTAGGCTTGTCTACCTGCCACGCGAGTGTAACAAGCTAGCTGACTATTTCGCAGGTCAGGCCAGTGCAACTGCACAGACTGCCTGGAAGGACCCGCTTGCCATACCGACCTATATACCACCTGTACCTTATCACCTGGCGCAAAAGCTCGGCTTTAGCCTGTTCAGCGTGCAGGAGGGTGCCCTGCCAGCTTTTGTCCTAACGAAATGCCCTGATCTCCGCACGCCACTCCCCCCCCTTTGTTGCCAGTCAGCACCCCACGCACAGAGTTCGAATAGAAGACTACATTGCCACCGCCATGCATCATCAAGGTACCCTCACAGTAGGTTATAAAACGGCACTATCAGGACCTCATGGAAGGTACTGTGTTGTTGGCTATGCAGGGCAGCGTCTTCCGCGGCCGGTGCCACTTGCCCTCTTTGGTGCTACCCATTGGGAGGTGACATGTCAGGTGCCCATTATGAACTGACACGCCGCCTGTGTCGACAAGGAGGGGTCTATTTATCCTTGCTGCCTATTGCCTCATTGCGCAGCTGGCTCGCGCAAAGCTGGTCTGAATCGGTGCGCCCTGGAGCGCCCGATAACCTTCCTAAGAAATGATCATCAATAGCTCCATTGCTTCTGAAACGATTTCCTGCCTGCAGCCAGCTGATGGAGCCGGCTTCGCCTGCTCTTACAGCGTTTGCTCACGAGCTGCCTCCCGGCATGTCATGGCCCACCCTCTTGGCTGGGCCCCAATCGCCAAGCACGGTGCGGATCGGCCTGCCCCTTTCAAGTTTCTTGAAAGGTTGGAACCGCATGTCACGTATGCTGCCCTTCAATTTCTACAGCAGGATGCGTCACTTGCTTCGACTATCTGGTGTCATGATGGCTTCTGGGTCTGCCCGTCTCCCTCACATTTTTTTGCACGCATGGGGCTGCCATTATCGCAGGAGTGCGAAGGTTAGCGGTTGTAGAGATTAGGATTTCCGGAAAACAGAGCAACCAACACAAACAACAAAACCACCCACCAACAAAAACAACACGCAACCCACCAGAAGACGAAAAACCAGGAAATCCTGCAAATCTCACGAGTTCAATGTGAGACAAAGGTGAAACTAATGCTTGGGCGCGGGTGAATTGCTACGAAAAGCTTGCTGCCAGCGAACACTTGCACAAGGCGCATGCTATGTTGAGGCAGACGACACAACAGGAATTGCCCTGAAAAACCTACTGCCTTAAGTAAGTAGATTACAAACGTCCTAAAGACAAAACGAAAGCACGCGCAACAGCTCACAAGCAATGCGAAAGCACTCGCACCACTTTTACGCGCACCTTGAGCTCTGGTTTCTCAAGCTCTGGGCCTTGAGCCAAAGTAAAGTACAAAAGGCTATGAGGTATTCCTGCATACAAGCAATTGCCATGCGAGACACTGAAAGTGTCGAGCTTAAACGCACTCAAACATGCACACAACTGTTCAAGAAACATTCACACAAAAGCTACAAAGACTTCTGCTCTACAAAGCTCTCAAAAACACTTCTAAACACAAAGTTCCATCAAAGAACGCTTGCTCAAGCGCTCGAAATGCAAGACTACGCACTCCAAAAGTAAAAACCTCACAGCTACTGCATTTGCCTGCACCTACCTCACACACTTTCACACCCCCTTTCGAGGTGAGGCTCATTCACTCTGAGCTTGTGGTGACTTGAGTAGAGGCGGTGGCTTCAGTCCTCTCAGCTTTCCAGTGCTCCTTGGTGATGATCTTTTCGCATGCCTTGCAGAGTTGAAGGCAACTAAGTCCCTTCCCTCAGGTGTAATGGCATAGTGGGCTCCAATGAACCACAGTTCCCGTGCGGCAGATCTCCAACTAATTCTTCTAGAATTTTTTTTTTGCACGAGTCGAGGCGCTGTGTGTGCAGGTTATGCACAAGTCACCTTAAGCTAGTAAGAGAGGGAGAAATGAACCGGCCAAAGCACGAAACCGAAGCAACCAAACAAGCCCCCCCAACCCAACAAACAGCAAAAACAGCCAAAACCCCACCAAAACAAGGCACGGTTCATATCTCAGGATGGCCGAGTCAGCCAGAAAAGCGGTGAAACGGAATACGGCCTGGGGCAATGTATTCTTACCTGACGCTCAGTACATCATCTTCAGGTTCTTGTACTTCATTTGCCTTCATTTGTCTCGACGAAGCTTGATAGCCCTTCGATTGTCAATACAATTTTCGCTTCAAATGTGAGGGCAGATGCACACTCGGAAGTCATCTGAATCAAAATTGTCTGCCATAAAGGGCATCCACGCAGCATCATTCCAGCATCAAACCGCCATCCCGTGCTCACATTGCAGAGAGTGAGGCCTCTACGGGACATTCCGCCTCTAGAGCGATCGACAGAGAAAACAGCGAGACTGGTGAGCATGACGAAGACAGGCTCGAAACCCCAGGCCCCCCCATAGGGAGGGGGAGCACCAGGGGTGCAGCGGCGACTTCAAAAAACAGCTTTGCCAAAGGAAGTCACAGAATGGCAGGTTGTCTCAACAGCTCACCGGGAGCAAGTTTGGGCAATCAAGGTGCAATCATGACGACCAGTTTGCTGCCTCCAGTTCCCCCCCAGTTCCCTGCCCCCAGTTCCTGTCCCCAGTTCCCTGTCCCAAGTTCCCTGTCTCCAGTTTGCTGCTCCCAGTTCCCTGCCCGTTCCCTGTCCCAGTTCCCTACTCTCAGTTCCCTGTCCAGTTTGCTGCCCCAGTTCCCTGTCCCAAGTTCCCTGTCCCCAGTTTGCTGCCCCCAGTTCCCTGCCCCCCACTTCCCTGTTTCCAGTTCCCTGTCCCAAGTTCCCTGTTCCCATTTTGCCGCCCCACGACTTGAGGCTCTGCATACAGCAGTTGGAGATCAGCCTCGCCTGAGATCCACCTGCAGGCCTTGATCAGCGACTTGAGGTTCTACGATCAGCCTCGTCTGAGATCCACCTGTAGGCCTTGATCAGCGACTTGAGGGTTTGCACAGTTGGAGAATAGAATCAGGAAGCATGAAGTGAAAACGCCGCCCTTAAAGATACAACAGTGAATCATTAGAGGTCAAGTGAAACGCCCCCTTCAATGATGGCCCCAAGTCAGCTGCTTTGCAGGAGACGATGTTCTGGCAGTTCTGTAACCCAAGCTTTTGTTAATTCATCGTTGAGGGCTGCGTTTTCACCTAACCACTGATGATTTAATGCTGCATCTTTGAGGGCGGCGTTTTCACTGCTTGCTCCCGCTGATCTCAGACACAGCTGATCTCAGACCAAGCATTAAGAAAAAAACAACCACCGTGAAAAATGGTGTTCTCGCTGATCTCACACACAGCTGATCTCAGACCAAGCAGTAAGAAAAAACGCCAAGTCAAATCGAACACCTTTGAGCACGGTGGTTGTTTTTTTCTTCATGCTTGGTCTGAGATCAGCTGTGTTTGAGATCAGCGGGAACACGATTTTTTGTGAAAACACGGAAGCGTGTGCGACCCTTTTGCGAATCCCGCTCTTGAGCCAAACATAACAGTCGGTTTGACTGTATGTCTGTTCGTCCTTCTCTTCTCTGAAGAGGTCTGACTGGTCACAGTCGTCCAAAACATACTAAAAGTCCAAGAAAGCATCTCCAAACACTCTCAAGCAAAGCTAGGCTATACACAGCTCATCTCAAGCACTACAGCTCTATACTTAGGGCTTCTCTAGACATGCTCCTAGCCACTTCTGGTCACATTCCACTTAGTCCTGCTAAGGTGGTCAAAGCAAACACACTCCAGGAAGGAAGATCCCTACTCAGCTCCAACCCCAAGGACAGAGAACGTTCCACTACAAAGGGGTACTAGGTGATCCACACACTGTACAGGCGTGCTACCCACACTTTTCACACCCCTTCTTGGGTCACCTCGTACCTTCTCCTGGTCTTCCTGTCTTCTTCTTCTCTTCAATTCGTTTTCTCTGAGCAACTAAGGTTCGAGCATCAACTAAGATCTCAACTCCTGTGGTTCAAAATGGTCTCCAAGTCGATCAAACGTCAACGAATCAAGAACAACGAGCTTCAAGCAAG